ACGCTCTTCCGATCCCCCCAAAACCCCAAAACCCCATAATGCACTATCAAATTGATGGTAGAATATGAATGATATATTTAATTTAGGAATAACTTTGAGAATATTCCAAACTATTTATACACGGTTCAGATTCATATTTACAATTATAACAGCAGTAGTTATCAATGCCTTTTACCCATTGGCACATCTGTAGTATACTTGGGTATATCATGCATGCTTTTGCCTTTTTCACTCATTCTCTTCATGTCCTTAATTATTCCACGAGCGTATAAGTCTTTCTGATGTTTCTTGTAGTAGAATATACTAGGGGGCATTGTTAAAAACATAAATAGTCCTAATTTGAAGAATATCTACCCTCTTTTATAAACTTTAAGCACTGCTTGCTACTAATTGGTGGGTCTTGACTGACCTAAAGATGATTTAGCTGATTTTTCATCAGGCTAGGGAGTATTATTGAGTTAAGACATTTTTAAATAATATTTTTAATTAGATCTATAATTATAGTATAATGCTATGAATTCTAAAACCTAAATCAAATTATATTTCTTCTTAGTTTAATCAGATTCATATACACTAACTATTAAAAAGATTTAACTTATTCTTACTTAATAATATAATTCTAATATCAATAAACAATATGTACGCTAAGATCTTCACCGTCCTCGGTCTCGCTGCCACCACTGCTATGGCTCTTGAAATCGATATCTCAGCCAAAGTCAACCAAACCCTTGAATTCATTCAAGATGCTTAGGACTTCTCTGAGTCAACCTACTCTGATCTATAACAAAACAAAAAGGATTACAAGAAGACTATTCTCAAGATTCTATAAGATGCTGAGAAAGAAGTCCAAACCAATTACCAAAGAGTAATCTAGCCAGTCGCTGAAGACTACGCTGCCTTCTTGAAGACCCTCAAGGTCAACGAGAACTGCGATGAGGAGTGCGTTTCCCAAGTCTGTTTCTCACCAGAGAAATGGGCTATGAACTGGACTTGCGTCGCTAAGACCTGCAATTGCAACCTCAGAGATATCAATGCCACACTTGAAGCAAAGGCTGAGCTTAAGGAGTCAGTTAGAAACGTCACTGAGAGAGTTGTCCCAGCTTTCCTCCAAGAAAAGGCTACCCTCGTCAATGAGGCTTACAGATCATACAGATTAAAGCAAGTTGGCGTCATCAACAGCGCTGCTAGAAAAATTGAGAAAAAGATTGTTTCTGTTGTCCCAGAGGCCCAAAACTGTTTCAATCTCTGCTACAAATACTACGGAACTGACCTCACAACCTACGTTCCATGCGTTGGAAAATGCACTGAACAATACGATAGCCTCGAGAGACAAGGAGTTTTCAACAAAAAAATCTGAAATAAAGTAGAACTGCTTAGCTCTAGAGAGGTACCAGAAATGCCTTAATGATTAACTATTCTATTTAAAGGAAATTTCCTTCAGATTCATTCACAATAATATATCTTCTATAATTTTATGATGACCTCATGGGGTTTTGGGGTTTTGGGGTTTTGGGG